TCATAAACACATAAACCACACTATCTACTCTCTCTCTCTCTTCGCTCTTCTCTCCTCCTTCTCTCTCCTCCTCTCCTCTCTCTCTCTCTCTCTCTCTCTCTCTCCTCTCCTCTCTCCATTACACACACAGCATAACACACAACTACACTCGTCTCTCCTCTTCGTACTCTCTCTCTTCACTCTCTCTCTCTCTCTCTCTCTTTCTCTCCCCTCTCTCTCTCTCTCTTCCTCACTTCTCTCTCCTCTTCTCTACTCCTCCTTCTCTCTCTCCTCACACACACACACACAAAAACACACACACACTCTGCTCCCCTCTCAAGGTCGTCTCTCTTCTTCGTCTCACTTCTCTACTCTCCTCTCTCTCTCTTCCTTCTCTCTCTCTCTCTCTCTCTCTCTCTGCTCTTCTCTCTCTCCTCTCTCCTCCTACTCTCTCCTCTCTCTCTCTCACACTACCACACAACTGAACACACTCTCTCTCTCTGTCTCTCTGCGGTCTCTCTCACTACTCCCTTCTCTCTCTCTCTCTCTCTTCTCTCTCTCTCTCTCTCTCTCTCTCTCTCTCTCTCTCTCTCTCTCTCTCTTCTCTCTCTCTCTCTCTTCACAGCACACAACACACACCAGCACTCTCTCTCTCTGTCTCTTCTTCTCTCATCTCACTCTCCTCCCTGCCTCTCTCAGTCTCTCTCTCTCTCTCTCTCTCTCTTCTCTCTCTCCTCTCCTCTACTCTCCTCTCTCTCTCTCTCTCCCTCTCCTCTCTCTCTTCTCTCTCTCTCTCACAACACACACACACAACAACACAACACACTCTCTCTCTCTGTTCTCTCTCTCTCTCTCACTCTCTCTCTCTCTCTCTCTCTCTCTCTCTCTCTCCTCTCTCTCTCTCTCTCTCTCTCTCGTCTCTCCTCTCTCTCTCTCCTCTCCTCTTCACACACCACACACACACACACACTCTCTCTCTCTGTCTCTCTCTCATCACACACCCACATCACACACCTCTTCTCACTTCCTCTTCACTCTCTTCATCTCTCTTCTCTCTCTCTCTCTCTCTCTCTCTCTCTCTCTCTCACTCTCTCTCTCTCTCTCTCTCTCCCTCTCTCTCTCTCTCTCGCTCTCTCATCACACACACACACACACACACAACACACACACCACACACACACACCACACACACACACACACACACACACACACAGCACACACACACACACACACACACAGGGTTAAAAAGATTTTCTTGCGATCGTTCTGACCTCAACTGCAACTGATATGCCGCTGAGTGAGGGTTTATTTTTTTTTCTTTCTAAACCTTGTGCGAGAGAAGGATGCGGAGGGGAGGGGGAAAGGAGGGAAGGAGGGGAAGGGCAGGGGAGGGAAATGGGCAGGAGCGGAGGAGGGAGGGAAGGAGGAGGGAAGGGAGAGAGGGAGGGGGGGGAAGGAGGGAGGGGGGAGGGGGAGGAAGAAGGAGGGAGGGGGAGGAGAGGAGAAAGGGAGGAGGATGCGAGAGAGGGGAGGAGGGAGAGGTAAGGGGAAGGAATGGAGAAGGAAAGGAGCGGGAAGAAGAGTGGAAGAAGGAGGGAAAAAGAGAGAGATAGAGAGAGACAGACAGACAGATAGACAAACAATGGAAAGCAAGAAGCGAATCAACTTTTCGCACGATAATCCCCCCCCCCTCCCCCCACCCTCCTCCCACCCCATCCTCAAAAAAAAAAAAAAAAAAAAGATCACGATTATATTCAATAACATTAACATAACCGCAATAATCCATCTTTTTCCACTCTCTCACTTATTACAATTCAGTCACTCGTTTTCCCGATATTTTGAGAAGCATTACCTCGCTCTCTCTCTCTCCCTCCCTCCTTCTCTCTCTCTCTCTCTCTCCTCTCTCTCTCTCCTCTCTCTTCTTTCTCTTCCTACATCTCTCTCTCTCTATCTCCCTCTCTCTCTCTCCCTCTCTCTCTCCTCCTTCCCTCCCTCCCTCCCTCCCTCTCTCCTCTCTCCCCCCCCCTCTCTCTCTATCTCTCTCTCTCTCTCTTTCTCTTCCTATCCCTTCTCCACCACCCTTGACGATCCAACGCCCAGCACGAACACACACGCCCTCGAGAGTGGTCTTGGAGGCAGGAGGAGCTGTGACACGGGTGGAGACAGATAGACTTCCTGGTAGATGGATAGACTTCCGGTTGCGGAGATAGAGAGGCAGATAGACTTCCTGGTAGGTAGATAGATGGGTAGATAGATAGACTCCTGGTGATAGGATAAGATAGGAGATTTGTGGTAGAAGATAGATAGACTTCCGGGGGCGGAGATAGAGAGGTAGATAGACTTCCTGGTAGATAGATATACGGGTAGATAGATAGACTTGCTGGTAGATAGATGGGTAGATAGGTAGACTTCCGGGTGGCGAGATAGATAGAAAATCTGGTAGATAGGGGCTGTAACACGGACGGAGACAAGACAAAAATGATACTCTAGTGACAGATAGACTTTCGGGTGGAAAGATTGATAGATAGACAGATAGACACATTTCCGGTTGGAAAGACAGACAGGCACATACGCAGATAGACTTCCGGGTCGAAATATAGATAATTAGATAGACTTCCGGGTGGAAAAATAGATAGACAGATAGACAGATAAGCAGTTAGACTTCAGGGTGGAAAGACAGATAGACAGACAGGCAGATGATCGATCAGGTGGAAAGATAGATAGACAGTAAGACCGATACACTTTCAGAGAAAAAGTCTTTGAGTACATAAAGAAAGGATAGAAAGTCAAGAAACTACACACTCGCTGTTTTTTTTTCTGTCTTACGAAGAAAAAAAAGAGGAAAGAGAGATTTTGTGATTTTGAACGGCATTGCACTTCGACAAAGAGATTTAATGAAATCACTGTAGCTCATTGTTTGATTTTAATATGTCATTTATATTGTGTATCAGCTGTGTGAGTAGCTTGAAAGTATTAGAAAACACACACACACACACGTACACTCTCTCATACATACACACACGCTCTAACATACACCACACACACACACACACACACACACACACACACACCACACACAATACAGACTCACAATCAAAACGAAGAACATTATTTTTTTTCTTTTATAATAAATCAACACACCCATGCGCATATGAGGAGATAAAAGAAAATAGAAAACGAAAAAAGAAATTAAAAGTGATTTGAATTATAAATCAACAAATTTCAGCATGAATGATTTCTGACCAGAAAGTATACGAACCAGAAGGAAAAGGGAGAAGGGGAGAGGAGAGAGAGAGAGAGAGAGAGAGAGAGAGAGTAGAGAGAGAGAGAGAGAGAGAGAGAGAGAGAGCGAGAGAGACGAGAGAGAGGAGAGAGAGTGAGAGAGAGAGAGAGAAAAGTGGAGAGGAGAGAGAGAGAGAGAGAGAAAAAGAGAGACAAAGAGAGAATTCGAAAATGAAAATATGAACAACCAGAGAATCCCCCCCCCCAAAAAAAAAAGAGAATAAAAACATTTAAACAAAGATCACACACACGCACACATACACCCCCCCCCCCCCCCACACACCATACATATCCAAACGAATACATTTCCCCCAAAGGACTATCCACCTCCCCGCTCCCCCTCCCCACCCCCTCGTCCTCTCTCCCACCCCTCCCCTCCCCAACCAGACCAAACCCCTTTTCCCAAAGGACTCCACCATTCCACCTCCCCCCCTCTCTCCCCCACATCCCCTCCCACCTCCCCCTCTTCCCCCCCTCCTCCCATCTCCTTCCCCCCTTCCCCCACCCCTTCCCCCCTCCCCTTTCCCCCCTTCCTCTCCCCTCCCCAAACCCGACCAACCACCAATTTTCCCCTTTTTCCCAAAGGACTACCACCACCTCCTCTCCTCCCCCCAACCAACCACCCCTTTTTCCCAAAGACTATCCACTTCTCGTCCCCACATCCCCCACCTCCTCTCCCCACCCCCTCCCCTCCCCCTCCTCTCTCCCTCCTTCCCCCCTCACCTCCCACCTCCTTCCCCACCTTTCCCCCCCTCCCCCCACCCACCCTCCCCCCCCCCAAACCAGACCAACCACCATTTCCCCCTAAACTGCTTAATTAAGCCCCCGGCCACTTTGCAACCGACAAAAACAAGAGTTCTGCATTTAACTTTTTTTGTATTTAATTTTTTGTATTTAACTTTTCCTTTCAACTCGATCAACGTGTCTCTGTGTTCGATTCTTGGGCCGATGTTAATGAATGGGCAATTAACGGCGAGCTGCAATTAGGAGGGAGATAATTATGAAGGTGGTTTGGTTGGATGTTGGCGAGTCATTCGTTTAAGAGCGTGTGTTCTTTTTTGTTTTTCTTTTTTTAGCTTTTTTTTTTTTTTTTTTGTTATCCTATTTTTTTTATTTTTTTATTATTGCTACTTTTTTGTTAGTGGAAATTTTGATGCATATTAAGAGTAGCAAGATGCAATTACATTTTTGAAGTATATTATTGAGAAATAAAAAATAATAATTTTAATAGATCTATCTGAACAAGACCATCAGAAAATGAAAAAAATAATACTGATAAAATATAATCTTAGACAATGAACTATTTTTTTCTCATCTCTTTATCTCCATCTTCTGTTATCTATATATCTATATGATAATGTTTTGGAAANCTCTCTCTCTCTCTCTCTCTCTCTCTCTCTCTCTTTTTTTTCCTGCCCTCTCTACCTCTACCCCGCTCTGTATCTCCTCAGAATTTCTTTTTTTCGGTCCTATTCATATGTGTAAAGTTATTTGTTTTATTTATACATTGTGATATTTCGTATCATGTAGTTAGAGTCCTTGGTTCTTTATTTGTTTATTCCTGTCCAATTGTAGGATATTGGTTACATAGTAAGGATTTGAGATGTAAGATTTTGAATATATATTGAGTATGAGTTGCCTAGGGAGGAGGCTCCTGGTCCTGTGTGATCCTGGCCCTCACCCTCGCCCTGGTCCCGTCCCGCCGGCCCAGTAGTCACGTACTATTTTGCTACTTTCAGGCACCTTCGCACGCCTGGTAGCGGACCACTCGGGCACGGCGGGCGGCCTTCACAGGTCCCCAGGTCAGGGGAGATCACCTGTCAACACCAGGTCCCCAGGACAAATGAGATCCCCAGGTCAGGGAGTTTCTCCTAGTCTCAACCGGTCTCCGGCCTCACCTAGTGGGTTGGCTGGGATGCGTAGCAAAGCAACTCTTTATACTCAACAAAAATCACAGCAGGCAAGTGTAAGGTCCCCCATCACGAGTGGAGGCTGCACGACGCCGAGCGGGCGCTCCCCGGTCGCCGAAGGCCACTCGCTCACGCCTTCCCCGTTGGCCAACATCGTGCCCAAGCTCCCGGTCGTCGTCAGCGGCAGCTCGCCCACGGGAGGCAGCTGCAGCACCAGCAGCAGTCTTGCTTCCCAGTCCTCCGTCACTATGCGCATAACGACCGCGCCCGGAGTGGTTCCCCCGCTGACCTGTGATATCTGCAATAAAACGTTTACTTCACGATCGAATTTGAACAAACATAAGCGCGTACAGCATTCGGGCGAGGAGTATGTGTGTCCCATATGCCGACGCACCTTCAGGAACAGATACTACATCAAAGAGCACGTGTTGCTGTGTTCGACGGCCACTCAAAAGAAGGCGGCTGCGGCTGCTGCTTCGGTGGTCATCGGGGTCCCAGTGTCAGGAGCTGCCGTGGGGATGGGCCTGGATGAGGACGACCCCCTGGAAGCCAAGGTCGAGGAAGAGGAATTCGACGGCCTGGACGACGACCAGCCCACCGACCTTGTGCTGCGTCGCCCCGCCTCCCCGACGTAGGGCCTTGATAGGGGTCGGCAACTATCATGGAAAGGACTGCCTTTTCGTGGACTGTGAGATGAGATACATCATGAGTGAGGGCGACACACAGTACTTTTTTTCTTTATTTTACAGAGGAAGTTGATAGTATAAAGAAGACACAAATCTTGTGTACAAAAAACTTGAAAGTTTAAGTTACTGGGCCAGTATAACTAACAGAAAAGAGAAATGCCTGATAGACATTTCATAATGTTTATCTACCATCTGTATGTCTCTTAATGGCGTCCTGAGACTTTTTCTTTGTGGTTACCTGCAAATATTATGTTAATTGTGTCATGATTCGTAAATTTCCAATTCAATAAACAAGCATAATTAAGATAACTCATTCACAGATTAATTCACGCGAAAGTATTTGCAATACACGTTTGTATTCCTCATTGCATAATATACCATTATTTTCAACTTGATGTATGTGACGAGGCAAGCTGCATCAAAAGACGGAGAAGAGTTCAACCCGTGCTTCTAAAGTGTGGCGTCTCCGCTTTCGTCCGGCCCGTTTGGGGGGGGGGGGGCAGTCTGTGCGTCGGACGAGACGGTCGCTGGAGCCGAGTTTATTTCGACTGGTGCTATAGTTTTTGTTGTTTGTTTTGATTTGCTTCTGAACGGTCGGCAGTCTTAAAGCTTATCCTATGTAGTTCTTGATGACTTTACAGTTATAGAGATAAATTTGGTTTTGTGAGGAAATCATCTTGGAAATAGGCTGTTGCCATGTCTTCAAAATTATAATTACACAAACGCACACATACGCACGCACATTTACATACATATACATACATATACGTACACTAAGTACATGCATACATATACATACATACATACATACATACATACATACGTACATACGTACATACGCACATACACACATGCACCCACCCACACACACTATACATTCATACATATATACATACACATCCATACACAACATTATATCTATCATATATATATATATATTATATATATATATATATATAATATATAATTATATATATAATATATATATAATATAATATAAATAATATAAAATAATATATAAATATATATAGACACATGCACACATACACATACATACACATTTACAATCTTCTTTTTTTTCTTCTTCTTCTCGAGATAATAATTGGCGAAACTAGGTAAACGTCACCAGCTTCGAGCCTACCCGGAAGCACCAAATGCCCGTTGTGCCTTTCATGGCGTCTTAGAATTTCAGTTCCATACAAGCATTTTTTTTTTTTTTTTTTTTTTTTTTTTTTTTTTTTTTTTTTGATAAATAATTTTGTGGTTTCTCCAATTTGGTGAATTTTACTGTTATCGAAGTCCCTATTTTTGTTCACAAAATTCTGTTTTCAAAAGCCGGGTTTTAAAGAGAGAAATGAGTAAACGTGGATTTGTGGTAGAATTGCAGTTCTCATCAGGAGTCGTTAGAGTTGTGTTAGAGAGTCCTTGCGTATTTTGATAGTTTCGAAGCATTGTATCTAAACCTCAAAGACTGATTATCAGTAAAAAAGACTATAGTTGTACAAGGAAGTCCATTGTCTGGCAGGAAGCATTACACAGCCATTCAGCGTGTGCAGCGAAGGGCCGGAGGCTGCATGAGGTTTTCGGCTCGCGTGTTCCAGGCATTGTGGGTAAACGTCAAGTCGCTGGGCTTCCCTTACGATCGGATCTCGTGGCCCAACAGAAGGCTGGTGGACGCGCATTATCTGGTGTTTGCTGGAGGTGGAGTAATGACGGATAGCTCATTGTTTCATAAAAGTGCAAGTTGGGAATAGATGATTTTTCATGATGTAGTAAATGATAAAGGCCAGTCTTAGACTTTTCGAAGAAAAGGCGGTCACAGGTGATCGGATTGTTTTCCGGTTCAACTATTTTTAAAGGAGACAATGTAGCCTTCAAGGGCGAGGGGGAAAAGGCAGCCTCAAGGCGCAGGCAAGACAACCCTCCGCCACGCCATGCGCCTCTTGGGGCCTCGCCGGCGGCCGCGGCGGAACGGCTGACCAGGGAACGGAACAGGGTCCCCATGTGCCTTATTGTTGTTAGTTTAGTGTGTGTATGTATTGCATATATGCGTACACATAAGGTATACATATGCAGTGCATAATGCAGGCGCACACACAAGTTCTCGCATTCTTCAGTGTAAATGCACTGCGCGCGCGCACACACACACACATAGACGCGCACATACATACACATATACATTTACAAACACATACACACTCTCTCTCTCTCTCTCTCTCTCTCTCTCTCTCTCTCTCTCTCTCTCTCTCTCTCTCTCTCTCTCTCTCTCTTCTCCTCTCTCTCCTCCCCTCTCTCTATCCCTCCCCCTCTCCCTCTCTCTCTCCTCCCCCCTCTCCTCTCTCTCTCCTCCCCTCTCCTCTCTCTCTCCTCCCCCTCTCTCTCTCTCTCCCTCCCCCTCTCCCTCTCTCTCTCCTCCCCCCTCTCCCTCTCTCTCTCCTCCCCCTCCCTCTCTCTCTCCTCCCCCCTCTTCCTCTCTCTCTCTCCTCCCCCTCTCCCTCCTCTCTCCTCTCTCCTCCCCCTTCCCTCTCTCTCTCCTCCCCTCTCCCTCTCTCTCTCCTCCCCCTCTCCCTCTCTCTCTCCTCCCCCTCTCCTCTCTCTCTCCTCCCCTCTCCCTCTCTCTCTCCTCCCCTCTCTCTCCTCTCTCCTCCTCTCTCCCTCTCTCTCTCCTCCCCCTCTCCCTCTCTCTTCTCCTCCCCCTCTCCTCTCTCTCTCCTCCCCCTCTCCCTCTCTCTCTCCTCCCCCTCTCCCCCTCTCACTCCTCCCCCTCTCCCTCCCCTCTCCTCCCCCTCTCCTCTCCTCTCCTCCCCTCTCCCTCTCTTCCCCTCTCCCCTCTCTCCCCTCTTCTCTCCCTTCTCTCTCTCTCTCTCTCTCTCTCTCTCTCTCTCTCTCTCTCTCTCTCTCTCTCTTCTCTCTCTCTCTCTCTCTCTCTCTCCTCTCTCCCTCTCTCCCTCTCCTCCCTCTCTCTCCCTCTCCTCCCCCTCTCTCTCCTCTCTCCTCCCCCTCTCCCTCTCCCTCTCCTCCCCCTCTCCCTCTCCCTCTCCTCCCCCCTCTCTCTCTCCTCCCCCTCCCTCTTTCTCTTTTTCGTTCCTCCTGTCTATCTTCTCTCTTTCTCTTTCATAGTTATGCACGCACACCACGCACGCACGCACACACACACACACACACACACACACACACACACACACACACACACACACACACACACACACCACACACAACACACACACACACACACACACACGCACACACACAACACGCACACCACACGCACACACATACACACACATACACACACACACATACACACACACACACACACACACACACACACACACACACACACACACACACACACACACTCTTTCACACACACACACACACACACACACACACACTCTTTCACACACTCATTCACTCACCCCCCCCCCTTTCCTTCCCTCCCTCCCTCCATATGAACCTATAAACGCGTGCATCTGCGAGCAGTCACAAGCATTATGTATACGTATGTTTGTATGCCATGTGTATATATTTAAAAGCAGCTCATAAGTAGTAAATGTAGGGTTTGCATACATTTAAAAGACAGTAGCATTATTACGATAGTTAATGGGATGGATCACGTTAAGTTCACAATAATACGCGATAGTTTGTCTCGTTTGCGACCACTTTGGAGCAATTGCTGCGTGGGTAATGAATATGGACGTAAATATATATCCTAACCGTCACTGCTTCCCATGTCCAATTAAAAAGAGGGTTTAAAGGGAAAGTTTGGTATTTTTTTCCAGATAATTGTTTATTTTGCCCAAGAAATTTGATTTTTATGGTACACGATAGAATGTGTCGTTTTGCAGCAAACGTGACGAGGAGATGTTCGGAAAGGAAAATCATCTTGAAAAAGAATATCATACCTTTGAACTTATGTGATAGTCTGATCCCCCAACTGATAACCATTTGTTGTTTGTGATGATACCATGGTGTGTTCCTGACGCACGTACGAGGCGCAGCGCACTTCCTTTGATCTGCGGGCCCTGTACAGGCGTGCAATGCGATGGGCAGCCGCGTGTCACAAATCGCGTTCTGTTGTTCCTATAAAAGCTGTGTATATAATAATAAAAGGCTGAATTATTGAGAGGGAGAGTGCGAGTGTGGTTGTGTACTCTTGTGTTAACTATCCCCTCCTGTATATAGCATTTATGGACAATAAACGTATGGTTTGAATCTTGAGTGTTTATCATTTATCCCCGGTCTCCTGCGTGGCATTATTGGCTCTTAAAAACAGGTTTTGACATTGCCTTTGTAAGTGTTGAGGTTTGTGTAACAATAGGTCCATTGTAATAGAAAAGCTTTCGACACATAACCTGTATTTGTTTCTACACAAGCGTAACATCTGCATTTATCAAGAGGTGTGTGTGTCTGTGTCTGTTTCTGTTTGTGAGGGTGCGTGTGCGCCTGTCCATGCACAGACTATTTATAGCCAGTGCAAATGAACGATTATAAGATGTAGGCAATACCAAACTATGCATTATCCGCGCAACATTATGCTTATGCTGCTAGTAGTAAACGGATCAATAGTTTTGTAGTGGATGCCGAGTGTGAAGTCGAATATGCTTGCTAATTGGCATTTCTCTTGGTGAAAGATGCAAGGTAATCATATTTTTATTTAATTAAATTTTTACCTGATATACCCCACGACCAGGGCTTCGAGTTTTCATTCTTGAGTTGAGGGGGATCGCTCCAAAAGTCAGACTGGCACATCGTAGCCATAAAAGTATATAGATTCTTTACTCGTAAGGCGGAGCCTCTCTAAATGGGTCATTTGTAAAATATGACATCAGGCTATTGATTATCTAGCTTAGGCTTGTTTTCAGATGTGCCGTTATGTTGAGAGGGTCCTTATCTGGTCGTGTGCTAGATGTAGAATGCCTCACATTTGAAAAAACTTATTTGAATATGACAGTTCGAGCGTAGATTTAAAAAAAAATGCATATGCACACACACATACATATACATAGATGTATAAATCCATACGCGCACGCGCGCACACACAAACAAACAAACACGCACGCACACATGTAAACTCACAGAAAAACACAAACAAACACACACAGACGCGCGCGGTTATGTATCT